GAAAACCCTTGAAATTTTTTTCAGCAAATCTAGTCATTGCACTAAGATGGTATAAATGGATTCGAAAAGACACTTCTCTCTATGACTTAAGGAGCTTTGTTCCTGACCCTCTAACTAGGACATACTACTCATTGTGCTGTTCATGTTTATAATAGGTTGTCACCATATCATCGTAGGAGGAAAACAAGGCTCTCTAAAAGAATAACATTCCCAAGTGGAAAAATGTTTTTGCTTCTGTCATTTCTTGCATGTGCAGTTCCAGAACAGTTACTCAGAAGAGTCTTTCCTTCATTCACCTTGTATATTGATACAGTGTCAGGACTTGAAGACTATTTCCATTTTCTGTCCTTCTGTGCAGTCAGGTGTCGCCCTGAAAAAAAAAGCTTTCTGATTTTGTTTTTCATAGTTTTAGACACTTTCCTAGAAAAGCAACTATAAACATAAATGTTTATACATTCCTTCTAAGAAATGTCTTTTGATGGACGTTTCACATGACCAGTGTGATTGGGAAAGTGGTTACTTAATTATCCAATCCCTGGTCATTGTCAAGAATCTATAAATACTAGGGTCAGAAAAATAAAACTCTCTTTTTTTCTATCACACCACTGAGACATGTTTGTGTGAATCATTTTGTGTCCTCTAGTGACAATCAGGGAGTCTACAAGTTTTTCTGGTATCTGTCCAGTCCTTCCATCTCATGATAAAGGAAACTGAAAATACAGGGCAGTGTGTGCACCACATTTTGGCAGAGGAACTCAGGACCAGTCAGAGGATCTGGAACTGACTTTTTTCCTTTTCCTCCTTTTCCTCCTTTTCCTCCTTTTCCTCCTTTTCCTCCTTTTCCTCCTTTTCCTCCTTACTGCTGCCCTTTCATTGATACATTGCAACTTGAATCTCCTAAATTTTACAGTAAAATTTTGCATTGCATGTACTAATAGATGTCTGGGAACTGAGAAAGGGCAAAACCTCTCAAGGCTGTCCAGTCTTCATGCCAGAAGAGATGTGTAAGATGTTTCTGTCCAGGTTTCAAATATACATGCAGTGGTGCAGCTTTTATTAAAATAATGTTGTTGAGTAATTTCTTAGAGCAAATGTAAAAAGTAAACAAGTTAACTGATTCTATATTAGCCAATAGTCATAGCTAAAAACAGCAGAAAATTTTCAAACAGAATGGTGTCCATAAGAAAACACAGTTGTGTTGAAACCCAGATACCCCAGGAAACAGAATTGTTTCAGTGACATTTAATAGGAAAAAAATATAAACATCCATTTGGATAAAGCTAAAAGTTCTGTTTGGGCACTGCCAGAACAGAATATTTTTATTTCATGGTCTAATTAAGATACATCAATGTTAAAAGTGCTCACATCCCAAACATTTCAGCATTCAACATGCAAAATTTTAATGCATCGAAGTATTTTTTTAATTTTGATCTCATTTTTCTTCTATAAATTAGGGTCCTTCCTACCCATAAGACCTGAACATTCTTTCTACACGTGCTGCAAGTGAGCTGCCTCTGGTTTGTACCACATAGCCCAACACAGTTGGAAAACTAAGCTGACCCTTTAGTGAGGAACATGCACTAAAAGCTTTGAACTGGAAACTAAATATGATCATGAGCTGCCTTTTAAAAACCTACTACTGCCTGAGGAACTTCATTCTTTTCCCACAGTCCTAGGCAATATTCCGATTTCAATATCAAAGTGCAAACCCTGGATCAGCCTCTACTTAACAAAGTTTTACCAGCTAGCTGTTTTGGCTGAGAGTGTAGGAGTGTAGTTACCTCACACAACATTTTAGAAAAGTTTTAGGGAAAAAGAATTGTTGTTTTAGTTGTAAAAAAATAAAATCCCTGCTGGTAGAGTGCTGCAGGTGTGTCCTTATTGCTGATCTGCCCTGAGGCCAAACATCAGAGCCCCTCCCTATCTGTGCTTTGCACCACTGAGGTTAGATCAGGACACCAGTTTCTGATGAGGAAGTAAGCACTATCCCAAAGTGAGGCCAGAATAAACTTTTTCCAGGGAGTCTGAGTGGAACAGTGGTGAGTTCAGCTAAAATTCTTGGAAAAACTGGTGTTGCAATAGCAGCATAAAAACCCTCTGCTCATATATGCTGGGGTTTTGGAAGCCCGGTTCATGTAGCCAAGACCCTGCAGCACAGGACAGATGGGATATGGCCATAGCCCAGATGGGGGGCTCTGGTCAATCCTTTGTGGTATCCTTCCTTATGATAATCCATCCTTATGGGACCCCTCCTCTAGACCACTTTGTGTTTCTCCAACTTCACCTAACAGCAACTAGACAGTTCCTCTCGCTTGCTGTCTATATTCAGCAGAAATATGACATTACTGAGAACTGATTAAGCTCACCATTAGATGAAAAATGTCAAAAATTTGAAGGAACCAGTCCAGGCAACCAGCCTAAGGCCACAGTGCTACAGAGCTGTAGACATATAACCTATTCTCCCAGCAAAAGAGACCATCCCCACTTCTGGGAGAACAGCCAGGCTGCAGGAAAACAAGGCTTGAGCTTCTGGCAAATAAACTAAAACCAGGTGGAACTGTTTTCCCCCAGGAGCCGCTGGCAATGCCTTATCCCATCCTGTTGTGTATGGGAAAGAGGGTACAGAGCTCCTGCCTGAAACGAGGCAGGAACAAGGACTGATTCCTAGTCTGTCACTGCCCAGAGAATGCCTCTGGTTACTTTGAGGTTGTTAGAGAAGCAAATGACCTCCATGACCTTTCTGCTCAACAGCAAAAGCCTCAGGAATCTGGTTCATTCTAAAGTAAATGGTGAACCATTTCTGATTTTTCAGACATCTGTGGGGCTGAAACCATCTCCATTTGGGTGTTCCTCATGGGGATTTCCTCTCCATGATCTGCTACAAGAAGGTCTCTGTGCCTGTGTGGCTACAGCATTCAGCATCAGCATGTCAAAATCAAATGCAGTTAAGACTAAATTCTTGCTTGTGCATTAATTTACATGAATGTAAACGCCAAGGCCATGCTCATTATCTGACAGGGTCAGAGCAGAAGCTGGGTCCTGGCAAAGCACTTGTTGGCAGAGTGAAATAAGACAAGGCACTCTGCAGAAGGGAGGAAGAGGGCAACATGCCTGAACTAATCAGAGGGCAGGAATCAATAATTCTTGGAGACTGGCAGTTTGGGCTCCTTTGGCACCATCTCTCTTCACAGTAAATCCAATGCTACCTCAGCCTTTTAATGTATCTTCCTGGTAATCAAATAGCACAGTATAGGTCCATCACTGCTCCCACACAACAGAGCTGCTTATTTTGAACCAGCTGAAATATATAGAGCCCCAATGCCCAAGAGTTACAGCCTGAATACTTAGGCAAAAGGAGGAAGTCAGTCAGAAATCACTAAATAACTTGTTTGTTTGGGGTTTGGTTTTCTTTTTTTAAAGTGGCTGGATTGCCTTGATCCTTCCTCTCAGTTCTACAGATTCTTCTGAACAGAGCCAAAAGCCAGCCACACAGGCCCACATAGCACAGGAACAAGAGAGCCACCAAGAAGGTTGTATTGACAGCAAATGCTGAAATTACAAAAGCAAACACATTGGTTTGCTTTGAAAAGCCCTTAGTGGTGTCATCAGTTTGCTTTGAAAAGCCCTTAGTGGTGTTTATGTTGAAAAATCAAATGTAGTCAAAACAGCAAGTCTTTCTTAAAACTTCTAAATTGTTCCTTCAGTTACAAATCCTCTCAAGACTTGAAGCAGCAGAAGTATGGATGTCTTGATGGTCCTTGATAGCTGTGTAGGCCACAGATGGAAACCATCCAGCCCGTACTATTCAAATATTGGATGAGGCAGAAAAATGAAGGCAGGAGACCATTTCCAGAGCTAATGATCAGTCCCTGTAATTCATAATCCAATTAGGGACTGGCTTCCGTTTGCAAGTGATGGAGCAGGAATGTGTCCCAGCCCTCATGTTTCACATGTCCAGCCTACAGCTTTCATGGGTGATTCGTGGTGGTTGTACAAAGGATTCCCAGTGCGGAACTAAGGTGCCTCTTTGCCTTTCAAAACACTTCTCTACCTCTCTCTTCTTAGAAACCAGGACTCATTACTAGGTAGAACCTGTATATTCCTGTGTATAGACAGGGCTATTTACATTTCCACATTTTTTGTAGAAGTTCCCTTTATTTTTCATATATTTTAGCATACCATTCAATTGGTTCATTCACTAAGTTTTCTGTTCCAAATTGAATTATTCCTACAAGCTGTTTAGCTCATAGAAAATATCATTCTGTGCCATGATCAGGCAATCCAGAGGACCAGCATTCAGAGGGTTATTTCCAAACTGGTGTATGCCAACAATGCATTGGAAGAATTTAAGAGACCTCTGTGGCATTATTTAAGTGGAAAAAAATCACTGGAGGACCATATCAAAAGCACATTGTAGAAGATGCTTTTACCTATTGAAACAAAGAAGCGTTTGTGACCCATCGCTACAAATAAGTAGCTTTGACTAGTCATCTGGGTTTGCATGGGATCTTTATTTGAGCTTGTTCAATTTGAACATTAAAAACAAACACACACCAGAGGAAAAAAACCACAAGAAAATTACCAAATGGTTCACTACAAGAAAGAAACAACAGAGCTGGATAACAGCTCCAACACTGCAATAGTATAGAGTGATAGTGACTCCTCAGTGACCTTTAAAAATTATATCTGGCCATAGATAAAAGCCTAGTCGGTGAAAGTCTGTGTAAAATAATACTGTTTAGAGCTGAAAAGACAGCAGGAGGTAACTGGTAACTGCTGTGAAGGCTCAGATACAGCCTGCCAGGGGGGTAGATGGCTACATCCCTCCTGGTTTGTACTTCAGGAGGTACCTGTGGAGAACCGTGAGCTGCTTCCCACCTGCTAAAATATTGCATGCCATATTTTAATTTCCTTTTTAAAGAAAAATAAACAAAAACAAAACAAAAAACCCACCAAAGAAAACATTCAAAATCCCCCCAACAAACAAATAAAACGTAAAGAAACCACAATTAAACAAAATGCCAACCAAATAATTAGAACAGACAACAACACCTAGACAGCTGATATATGTTAGAATACATTTCTGGAACACGCTGGCTCTTGTTTCCCAGTGCCTGAGCCGGCAATGGCGCCTCCGGCCTTGCTGACCTCTGAGGAGCCTGCTCTGCCTCCTCCTGCGCTTGCTTTTTGCCGCACCTCACATGCCACCTAGTGGCTTCCCAAGTGGAAAATTCCTTTTAAACGTGATTTACAGTCACGTCGCCTCTGCCGGCTGCTCCGTACACCTCAAGCTCGCTCTTGAAGAGCACAGCCCCGGCACCTCTGCAGCCCGGCCCCGGCCAAGAGCCGCCTGTCAGCGGCCCCTCCCTGCACCCTCAGACCCCCGGGAAATTCCCACCTCCTCGGCCTGTGTTTACAGCTCTCTCCTGTTCTCTGCCATGTTCAAAGCCTTCACGGAGCCCACGCCCATTTGGCTGCTCACCTTACCCCCCTGGCCCACGACCTTAACCAAGTATCTGGCAGAAAGAAGGTTGTACATTTTACTTTCAGCCATTCAGTGATGGTGGACAATCACCACAGTGTTCATGTTAGTTAAAATTCTAGTTTTCCAAGGAAAAAAACCAATAAACCAGATATGTTTAAAGTGGTCTTCCTCTTTCCCTCTTCCTAACTTCTTACAAGGGTCAGGGAGGATTTTATTGTTCAGCTCAGCAGCAGTTTTTTGAGTGCCCTACAGCCATTTTCCTTCAGAGTAAAGGTGTTCTACCATAGGCTTTCAGTTAGGCCATTTCTCCAGGAAACAGGAAGTTTTGGTTAAGAGCAAAGTTTTGCCTTCAAAAGAGGTAATTTCATCAGTTTTGCTCCCTTCTCAACAGGCTGGCCTAACCCCTGTGTTAATTATATGCCCGAGTGCCCCAGCCAGCCCCAGCGTGCTGCCAGCAAAGTGAGATGGTGTCTGCAGAACAGGTCAGTGGACTCCCCTCAAGGGTGTCCCTGTCACAGTCCCTCGGGACAAGCCCAGCTCCAGGCAGGATGCCTGTCAGAGGACACAGAGCATGCATTTGCTCTGTGAAAGGAAGAACTTTATCATCACTAAATCAGGGCAATGGCTGTCCAAGTTACTCTGGACAAAGAAAGGAGCTGGAGCTGACCCCTATAATCTCTGGCATTTGCATTAGGCAGAGGCAGCATTAAAAAAGTAGCCGCTTCCCTAAATATTTTTTTCTTGGTTTTCACTTCAAATGCTTGAAAACAGAACAGTTCCTCTTGAAAGTACTTGAAAGTCTTTTCTGCAAGAAATTCTTTGATTTTCTAGGAAAAAGAAACCAAACCAAAACACTCAAAGCAACTCTTTCAACATTTCTGAAATTATGTACCATTTATTTCTTTCAGACCACTGGAGAAATAATTTTCTTTTGGTTTAAACCCAGGTTCTGACCTTGGGTGCTACACATCACCAGACCCTGAGGGCTGCGAGACATTGTCCTGCCCTTCAAGAACGGGTTCTTCACCATGGCAAAGGCAATGTAGGTGAAATTATGCCACAAACTGCTGCCCTGTGGCTTGGAGAGCCAGCTTTGCTGTGCAAAAGTTACACAGCTATCCTTTACAGTTAATGGCCATCCAGGTGATCGTGTCCATGCAGAGGAACCATGTGAACCAAATGCAGCTGGAGCCCCTGGGCAGGACAAGGACCATCAGAGCTCTGGAAGCATGAGGGAAGGAGCAAAACTGACTTTCTGTCCTGGCTGCTCTAGGAAAGCCAAGGAAACGGGAACGAGGGTGCGCTCAGCAGCTAGAGGGCAGACTCATTTTTCCTTTAAAACTTGTGAATCACTTCCTCGCAGCTGCAGTGACTGCCAGAGTAGTCAACAGAAGTGGCTAAGATATAAGTCAGTTGGGCTAACTGGAGAAGTCTTTTGTGTATTAACTAGGGGGAGAGGTGACTCAAATTAAAAAAAAACCAAAAGCACAGGTGTAAAAACTTGATTGTTGTTTCAAAATGCTTAGCTTCAGCCAGGCAGGCTAATTTCTGACACAGCAGGGGAAGAGAAATAATCTACAAGACAGGAAAATTCCACAGATGTGTCTATGTCTGACGGCAAGCACCCCACAAAAAGGACACAACGGTCTTCTAGGCTTCTGTAACAGAAAAAAAAATAGTTGAAAATATTCACAAATAGCATTCATCAAAATATTCCAGACAAATAACTTCCTTTTTTTTTATTTTCCTATTCAGAAAAGGAATGTGAAGAAAGGTAAGATGTCTCTGCAGAGTATGGTCTCAGGTAAGTTATGTACTTTCTTACACAGAATTTTCCATTACTTCCTCCAGACATAAGATTTGGGAGCTCAGCCCATTGCAGGGAATGCAGCTGGAGCAGCCATCCAAGCACACACCTGGTGCTGCTGGTGTGATTCTGCCACTGCTGTGCACCCACTCAGATGGGCAATTTTATATCTTCAAAGGCAAATTCTCCTTCTCTTCTCTGCTTTGTAAAAGAGCCATTGAAAAATCACCTGTCATGTTATTACTGTTTGCATTGGAAACTTCCTTACTGAAGCGTAAGGGGAGACTCTTACACTCCCTGATGTCACTGATGTCTCCCTGTTCATACAATTAAGGATTAAGCCAAGCAATACTACAAGTGATGCCTAAATATTAACTTTGTTATGGGTGTTCTGCCAATGCAGTTCACACTGGTGAGATGCCAGGCAGTGCCAGCCTGGTGAGGATGGGGGAGGTAACGCTGTGTTGGACAGGAGGAGGATTTGAGAGCTCCTGGTGTACACCAGCTAGCCACCAGTTTAACAAGCAGAAGCCTAAAGAGCAAATATATCTGGAGGCATTGCAGTTTACCCTCCATCTTGCAGCAGTGGTTGCACCTCCCAGTCAAAACCTCATGGGCACCCTTGATTGGCAGCAACATGGGAGAAACCTACCAGAGAAACAAGGCTTGGTCTGGACCTGAGCACTTCTGTCAGCTGAGCCAGAAATCAGGAAAGTCTACAGAGGTGGAATCTACTGAAAAATACACCACCCTATGTATTTTGGTGCCATGTATGGCACTCTGTACTGGTCTGAAATGTGAGAGCACAACATAAACACAGCCCTCAACAGAGTCTGTTACTGAGAAAATGGTTCCTTTCACTGTGGTTCCTCCTGCCTATCTGCAAATGCCAAATCCTCATGGCTCTAACATGGACATCTGGTGTATCATTTCAACAGAGAAAGGCTTGAAAGATATTTGGATTTGTACAGTGAAGATCCTATTAAAGGTCTGAAGGGCCTCCATCCTTGGGAACAGAGAAAGCCATGAGAAGTGCTTTGGCTGTTCACTAGCCAAAGGCAGAGGTTTCTCTGAAAAAGCACAGGAGGAATGAGGTGTTTACACACAGCTGTGTCAATGCAGTGGGGGAGGCAGCCTGATGGGAGAGCTGCCCACTGCTCTCCTCTGCCTGCCTTTCTCTTCAGATCATGCTCATGGCCACGTTTCAAGTGATGCAATTAAAAAACCCAACCCCCCAGTGGCAGCAGCCACAGCAGCAACTCGGCAGGGCCACACTGCTGAAAAGCTGCTTCTGGACTTGTCCTGTGGCTCAGTCCTGCTGTGTTAGGATGACATTTTATCTTCCTGGTAGCTTCTACCTCTAGATTGGTATAGCTCCAACTTGCTTTTCCTTTTATATTTTTTGTTTTTTTAGAGAGTAGAAAATACTTTCCTCATGTATAAGGTCACATCTGATGAAGACCAAGCAAGCACAATTACATATCACACTTATTTTTCTTCTTTAACCAGGGTGTAAAACCAAGCCATGAAAAGAATGGGAACATTTTATCCTGAACTGAGTGGGAGAAAGAGATGCGAGAGCAGAAGTGGAATTAGAGGGCAGACCTTCTGCCAGCAATCATAGCCAGCACAGTGCCAGACCTCAGATTTAACACTGTCATTATAAATAGCCCTGGTGCAAGAGCACCATGCAAAAACACAGGAAAATTGAGCTAAACCAGCGCTTGGTAAACAAATTCTCCCTACTCCCAAAATGATGAACCAAATTTCAAACAGTATTTTTCTTGGAGGGGAGGGAAACCAGACAAAGAGGTATGAGGGGGTACACTGGTGGAAGCACCTGCCTCTGATCCCACCTGGGCTCTCCCAGTACCAGCACCTCTGCTCATATTGGCTCTGGGACCCACACTGAGTTAAGCTGCCTTGAGAGCTGAGCTGCCCCTTGCTCAAGAGAGGAAATGCTGCATCAGCTGCTTCCTTTTCATACATTTACCAAGACCTCTCTTGCCTTGAGTATTCTGCTCCTTCATTTGCAGTCTCTCTTACACAAAGAAGCCCTTGCACAGCCATTCACATCAGGGACACCAAAACAAGGTTCATGTCTGAAATTTCTGCTATGCATTCTCCATTTAATAATATAACTCCATGCTACCAGAAATAATTCTATCATAGTAGAACACCAGTGCACCTTACTGTTGGTTCCTCTCTTCTGCCTCAACAGATCTCCATGAAACACCCTCCTTGGTGTGGGTCCCACCCCAGGACTGTCCCTCTCTGTGCAGTTGGTCATGGGGAACAAGGGCCAGTGCCCCATGGGCACAGTGGAGAGGGTGGGGAGCAACACTTGCAACAGCAGAAATTATCAACCCAGAGAGACTGCAAAACTACAGCAGAAAATTCATTTGCTCTAAATATACAAGTCCAGAAGCAGAAGCTGTGTGTGCTGAAATCTGCTGTTTAAAGGCCAGAGAGGTATAAGGGAGAAAGGAATGTGTGTTAACAAAATGCTTTAAAGCAGCTCCCAAAAGGCCAGCTCCTACATGCAAGTTTATTCATGCCTCTGCTACCCAACCTGTCCTTCACCTCTGCCAGAAGTAGCACCCAATGTACCCAGCTCTTGGCCCTAGAAATTGCTGCCTGGGATGTGCTATTTAAAATGGTCTTCTTTTCTCAACAAAGACCAAACATGGAATAGCTATTTGCAGTATAAAATCCCATGCAAAGACAAGGTCCTGGTTGCAATCTACTGTAGGGCACATCAGCCAGATGAGCCTCCTCTCGCTACTCCTCACTTTCCTCAGTCTGAGGTGTCCTGTACTCTTTGCCACGTCAGAAGGCCTGCATATGAAATAGCTCCTCTTGACAGTAAAGCCATGCTTGGGACTGTTCCTCACAGTTCCCTCCTACAAGCCAAGCTGCTGACAAATATTTGTTAGGATTAACCAATTAACCGGGGCAGATTTAGACCACTATTAAAGGAAACACAAACCCTCCATGTGCCTCCTAATTTGATCCCACTGCATGTCATCCCCAACGTCTCAGCATCCCTCAAAAATACATATAAAATGACAAGAGTAAGACACTCATTTTTAGCAACCTTGTCATTGATTATCATTGATAACAAAACAATTTTCTAGCCCGAAGCGCTTGGAAGGATTATACACACAGATCCACAGAAGAGGCAAGAGAAAGGTGACAGAACAATTGCCTTTATAATTGTCTCCCAGATGGCTTAGATGCTGGATGGTTTAGCAATTCACTGCACAGAATTCCTTATAATAAAGAAGAGGGACTGGTGTCTCCCATGGAGAGGCAGAGGAGGGCCTGCTGGCAGACACTGGAGTAGACCCGTGCTCTCCGTAGCACTCTTGTGACCCAGCCTGGCAGGACACCACATGAAAGGAGCCACATCTGTAGTGGGGCTCCTGGTAGCCAGAAGCTTCAGAGGTAAAGAGCAAGCTGAGTCCAGCTGAACCACAGTGCATTGAGGCCGTTTATGATTTGTTTAAACCACAGTTCCTTTTAATAAGTCTCAGCTATGTCCTTGCTGGTGGCAGATCTCCCGTGGTGGCAGCACACACGCAGGTGCAGCGCCCAGCAAACCCAGTGCTGTGGAGACTGCTGGGCACATGGCCCATCTTTGGCTGGGACAGCTGCTCTCACTGCTCATTTCCAGCCATCCTTCCCAGCACACACAGGTTTCCTCTGTGGTGGGGAGCACTGCTGGGAAGACAGATCAATCATACCCCTGTCTGGCAGGTTGTTAAGGCAGGAAGGTTTTCATTAAGTCAACAAGGGTGTTAATTTATAGCATGTTTGCTACTTCTCTCCGAATACTCTTCCAGATGAGAGCTCGCTCCCTCATGCTTGCTGCACGCCAAGGGCAAAGATTAACAAGCATTTTGTTTACCTGAGTGCTTGATGTAGTCCTTCACCCCTCTCACCCTCTACCATGGGCTCCTGGCCTCTGCTTTGGGTTGAGATGCTGCTCAAACTGCAGCAGATTTGTCTGATTGAATTTAAACATATATGTGGCAGTTTGACCTAAGAGTTGCTATTTATGGATATAATGTTGCAAGTGACTTCAAGCATTACTTATGCAAAGCCAAATTTTGCAAAAACTCCTCTTGGGACAAGGTGTAATTTATTACATACCAAGAGCTAATCATTAGTGGAGTCTGAATTTATCAAAGAAGAACTACTTCTCCTCTCACAAATACTGAATTTTTTCAGCTTTTTGATACCAAAAAAATTTTCTCAGAGTTGAACAACTAAAGGTTTATTATTGGATTAAGGGTTAACTAGCTAATGCAATGAAAAATATTTGTATAAGGTATTAACACTTGGCTTTTTTGAAACTGCAACTATTTATATAATATATTCCATTGGGAATTTCAATTAATTGCATCTGAGAGGCAAGATCATTAGTTTCTTACAAAGTATATTGTAGTACAAACTTAACACATTACAAACTATGCTGCATTTTCATATTTGCAGCAAGGACTGTGAAAATTATCCAATAAAAGGAGTTGTTTCATCATAACTCCTTGGCCTGTACTGGTTCAAGTTGGTGTTTTTCTTTTGTAGTGTGGTGTCTCTTCATTGTTACAAAACCTTAAAGAAAAGATTTTACCAGTCAGGTCTGAGTTGTACCTGGAGGCTCTTGGACCACAAGGGTCAAAGAGCTGCAAGACAGTGGGGATGGCAGACAGAAACAGCTTCTGCAGAAAGAGTGCATTTCTGTAGGCAACACCTCCCATTCTCTCCTATTCCCATCAGCCTGGGCCTAGCAACAGAGGGGCTGAAGAACCATTGAGAGAAGCTCGTGGGCCTTTGGGGATTTAGCAAGGCTCTGTGTACTCATCTCCAGCTGCACAGAAGATCCAGTCTGACACATCAAACACTGTCTTAGGGTGTGTTAACAGTGAGCTTATGCATCAGATATATGCAGTAAGCTGCCCAGGTCTCACTGTTGGGTTCTTACATGGAAAAGGGTCCCATGCACCATACTTTCACAACATCTCTGTCTTAGGCAGCCTGGGATACACTCTCCCTGGACAGACAATTGCTCTTTGAGGCACTGCAAGTGAAGAGAAACCTAAGAAGGAGTAATTACCAAAGTTACAGTCAAGAGAAAGCTCTCAGGTGCCTGTAACAGCCCACCAAGCTGCCCATGGGTGTTTTACCCTTGTGCTGACATGCACCAGAGTGAGGAAGCTGCTGTGCTGCCATGGAAGGTAGCATACTGTAACATCACTCACAAAACTGGAGAATTTCTTTGGTTTTGCTTTTTACACACACCTTAAGCTGAAAATATGTCCTCTCATAAAGTGGAGTGTGAGAAGCAGCATCCACAACAAGAAAAGTGGCACCATCTCTTGGGAAAAAGCATTTGTGTCCTCTACAGTGGGGAATACGCAGCAGGAGGTTGCTGTTAGAAAGCCCTGTCTGCTGTTTCCTCTGAAGCAGAGCAGAGAGCATGTCTTCCTAGCAGATAGCTCAGAAAAAGCCTGGGCACTGAACAAAAATTCCCTGTATTACAGAGGGGATTACCCCTCCAGCTGTGCCATGAGTTGGGTTACACCATACAGAAATTGGGAATTGCAGTGGAAGTGCCTGCCTGGTCTGTAGGGCTGTGTTGGAGTGTGGCTACAAGCAGTGGTGTTGGGCAACATAATCAAAATGTGAACAGGCTACAGGAGGTTTGCTCAGACCTACATCAGCTCAGGTGTTCAGAGATGTGCTTCAAAATGTAGTATGGACCAGTCTGAATGGGGGGAGGAAAAATCAGACCATTACCATGAGAAAAATCACTGGAAAAGACCAAGAGATGTTCCAATATGGAGAAGAAGCAAAGGTTTGGAGCCAGGAGCTGAAGTCAGTTGTTGCCACGTGCATTTTTTGGAATTTCACAGACCTATTGAAAGTTTTTTATATAGTGCAAAAAAAGATGTAGCAAGTTCTGAATGTCATTAAAGCAAACTCAGATTTCCAAATTAATTCTTTGTCTCCCTAACCTTTTCATTAGAGTCAGTCTACCTACAAACCCTTGAAAATGAGAAAAGATGCAATGTACTACTTTTACCTTTTCAACAGGGAAGCTTGGCCAGGAGGTTAATCTCTGAAAGTCTTGAGCCTGGCTAACATTGCACACAGTAGTGGATTTCCATGCTGTTGTTACAGTAAGGCTTGTCTTTGCTAGGACTTCCAGAGAGCTGAGATGTCTATGGTATGAAACTGCATGCCTGAACTGCGCTTTTCTGGTAAAAGAAAGTAGTGGGAAAAAAAAATGAGAGTTTTCAGACAGAGTATTTCTTCTTGAAAAATCAACACAACTGGAAGACCACTGGCTCCTTATGAAGTTCCTTCCATCATAAATCATGCCGAAGCTTGTTGGAAACAAAAGGTATTGCAGCCCTATTCATTCTCATTAGGCAACAGGGAACCACTAACTTCCTTTATGGAATAAACTATCTGGAACAATAGGATCCACCATCCAAATGGCAGGCACATGACACAAGTCTTCTGAGGGAGCCGAGCTGTGCTGGCAAAGTGCCTTGTTGGGTGTTTCTGGGTAGAACAGACTGCAGGCAGCACTCACTGGAAAAGAGCTTGGAGCTGCAAGCAAAGTGTTTCCTCATGTAAAGCAAAGAAATCAGTGCCTGTTCTTTGTAAATAAACAGCTAGGTTTTGAAACAATCCAAACTTTGGCTTACCACTGGGGTCAAAAAAGGCTAATAAATCCTCTTTTTCCTGTTAACAAAACCCACAATTTTATTTTCTATAGATTTAAAAAAATTAAAATGGCATCATGAGTAATTTTGGAAATTCCTAAATATTGCTTCATTTGCCTGGCAGAGGCATCCTGTCCTCTCTCTCTCTCTCTCCCCCTTGCATCAGGGACAGTCACCCTTCAGACAGTGGAGGTTTGGTACAACTCTTACATGATTTCAACCACATGGCAAAGTAGAAAGTACAAATAAAAAGAGTATGGCTTTTCTGGATGGTGTAGGCTGCAGACGATGAATGTGAAGGATGACGGGTCCTAGTGAAGAAATCTGAAGGATATTGTGAGTCTTTGAGAGGTGAAAGCAAGGAAAAGGCAGAGATGTGAGCAGGAGGGGAAAGCCAGAGCAGAGAAATGCAAGATGAGTTTGGCAGGGAGATCCAAAACTTACAAAGTACAAATACAAAGTTATTGGTAGGGAATACAACGGCAGATGGTGAAATCCTCAGGAAGATATTAAGAGAGAGAATGACCAACCCAAATAATGGCAAATAAAATTCAGTCTAGGCATGTGTAAAGCCATGAATGCATTTAAGGAGAAGCAACTTGATCTTCACATATAAATGTTTTCCATGCTTACTGCTGCAACTTGAGAGGGAAGCCTCAGTTGAGCTACTGTAGACATTTTGTTGAAAATAAAAAATCATTGCTCTGCAACAGTCAAAGAACAAATAAATGTTTGGGTTTACTAGAGAAGGAAAAACCAATAAAGTAGAAAGATCATTATGCTGCTCTATAATCCATCTTGTATCTGCACTTTGAATGCTCAGTGCAGCTCTGGGCCCCTGTAAGGGATAGAGAAAAGATGGAGAAGATTCACAAATGGTTACAGGGTGAGCAAAGGTGTGACACAACTTCTGTACAAGGAACAGTGCAGGGGAATAGGACTTCTAAAGCTGGAAAATATATGAGATGTGGGACAAAGTACAGGGATATCATTAATGACACAGAGAGAGTGGATAGGGACAGAGTGTTGGTTGTGTCTCCAGGACAATGGGGGACCAGCTCACAAAGCTGGTAGGAGCCAAGTTCCAAGCAAACAGAAGGAAGGAGTTTGTCATGCAGAAGGCAGTGGACCTGCTGAGGTGGTCCTTTCCAAAGCACCCTGTGAGGATGCAAGGAACTTACACGCCTGCTCAAGAGTTTGGAAGGGTCCATGCCACACGCAAACTACAGCAGGTTCAGGAAATCCTCTGAGCTGAAAATAGTTGGAGACTGCAGTAACTGATTGATGCAAATCTGCTTATGGCCTCTGTTGAAGGCAGAGTAGATGAATGGGTTAGATGATCCAAACCATAGCTGTTCCTACCTGGAGTGAAAGTAGATAAGATAGACTCAAGTAAATACAGTGATCCCGAAGGGAGCTAGAGGTGGTAGCACGCAGCACAGCAGGAGGTGAAGCCAGGGGTTTGGGTGAAAGTGGCTCAGTTAAACTGCAGTCCAAAGGTGTAGATGAGGAGGCAGAAGAAAAGCTGCAGTTTCAACTCCATCAATGCTTGGGCTGAGCCCAGACATGTCCCACTATAATCGGGAGCAAAGCTCCCACTGATTCCGGCAGATCAAGCCCTCAAGACATAAAGACAAGCAGTTAAGTGAGGAGTTTCAGGGTCAAAGAATATCTCCAAGATAACAGGAGACATGGCACAGGCGAGTCTGTACAGGCAGAATTTGCAATTTATCTGTGTTAGTTATCTATTAGCCAGATCCAAATTATTTCAGTCCTGATTGGATCCAAGAAAATGTTGAATTCAGAGATATTCCTTTGCAGTCTCCATATCCTATTTAACTACTCTCCATATCCAAATAATAACTACTATGTAGGTATTGCCCATAGCACAGTTATTTTTTTCAATCTTATTAAAAAGCACTTTGAAATAAGCAGAGTTGCCTCCACTTCAAATGTGATATAATCTAGTAGTAAGATGTTGCAGAGTAATGGCTCCGAGGCAAAGCCCCCCAAAAGGCCAAGACTTTCAATATTCCTTAAGGGTATGTGGGTTTAAGAAATAATCAAGTGGAAGGAACCACTATTAATTAGTTTTTCAAAGCACAATTCTATTAACAATAATCAGAAAAGTAAATATGTTTCTTCACAGAACTGAAGAAAGCTTCACATTCTTCGGCATATTCCTAAATATGATTTAACAATAACAATAATAAACAATGATTTTTTTCTCATACAGTCAACACTGATTTTGGGTAATGACCTTGAAATAAGCCTTTTCTGTTCTGAGGCTATGTTTTCCTGAAGCACTGATTTTGATTTGTTTGGTTTACAACTCCTACATGAAGTTTCTCAGTAAGTACACACATTATGGTCAGTATTTTGAGAGAAGTGTCTCTTATTCTTTCAGCTGAAGTAGACGTCTTTTCCTGGAGTGCTGAAAAAAAATCATTTTAAGAAGCTGATCTGATTAACTGGGTTAAACCAGAAATGTGCTGAATTTCTCTGCAGACATGGCATAGCTGCTGACCTGCACTGAGACTGGAAATCGTTCCAGGCTGTGACGTGCCATGTCTGTTCATGTCAGCTGTGCACTGGGAAATGCACAAGAAAACTTGCTGAAAATGTCCTTCAGCTTAGGGCTCAAAAAAGATTCCTGTAAAACATGTTGCTTGTGAGGAAACCAGCCTCTCAGACCAAATAAATAAACTTTCTCACATAATTTATTAGTATTTCGCAGTTTTCTTCCAGTGGATCCAGGACAGCATGCACAGATGGAAGCAAGCACAGATGGACATACAGCCCTTCACAAAGATCTTTACAAATATCTGACCCCACCTGGATCTGTTCTTCAGCCTGATGCCACTCACCCACAGCAACTCAAGTTGCTTCTTCTTTGCACTATTGAGATAAAAAAATACAACTTGCAGCAGTTTGGTTCTGATGCTGCTTTTCAACATCTCTGTGTGAACCTTTATTTTCTCCTGCATGCTGCCCAGACACCCAGTTTGCAAAGCTGGGCCTCCCCACATAGATCAGTCCTCGATCCCCGCTATTCAGGGATGCATTTTGGCAGCAGGAGGTTACAACTGTGGGTCTCAACCACCTTTTCAGAATCCATCCTCTTGTTTGTCTTCCTTACCACATCTGCTCCTCTTGCTCTAATTCAATGTGGAGGGGAAGCTGGCATGTGAAGACAGATGCAGGAAGAAGAGCAGTCCTTCCCCAGTGCAAAGCCTCAGGATTGCTGAAGACATTGCCTAACAGAGCTTTTGTTAGCTGTTAACAAGAAGGAGGAGGAGCCTCAGAGGTCATTCAGGCTGCATCTGCTGAGCATTGTTGAAAGAGTCTCTCCCGTCTGTGCCTTCAGTCTATTTTTGTGCTGTAGTCATATCATGCCATCACAAGTCAGCATGCAGCTGCACCACAAACTGGCTCAGGGAACTGGTCTGGCTGAAAACCCACCCAGCTGAAAGGAGAAAAAAAAAGAGGAAAAAAAGGGAAAAAAAAAATTTTCCAGCCAGCTCAGATCTCTGATCTCACTTACCACACAGCAGGACTTACAGTTGTACCACCTCCAGGGAGGTAACCTCTTCCCACAGCTGTGGTGGCTGCTGCCAACTCTTCCTCAGGCAGCAACCCAAGTCTTTGCCCTATGGACCTGCTCCTTAGGAACTGAGTTTCTCATTTCATTCCCACTACTAAGGCAATTCTGGCTTGTGTAGACAGGCAGTAACACATGGATGCCCAGCATGGGATTTGAAGAGGTCTGGTTAGAAAGCTCACATTGGAAAGAATCTGCAAGAGCTCTCTCCTTGTAGATACAAAGGCAGTAAAAGTTTTTCTGAGTGCTTCTTGCTTCACTTTGTGCTCTCCTATCCCCTTGGGGAATTTAGGTAAATAGTTTATATAGGGAAAATCTTTCAGTAGCTTCACCCCTGTCCTTCCTGTCCCTTAACCAGTGGATGGAAGCAGCATTCCCTGCCTTGAGACACCTGGTCCCAGAGAAATTGTTTGATACTACAGTACTTCCCTTCTATCATGAATTAGAGTGGAAACAAGAAGCTGGTAACATGTGACCCATTTGCCACACAGTGTCTGTTAATAGATGTGACTTTTGTGACTAATACAGCCCGAGGAGGTACTGGAAGGGTGCATTAAATCCCTCCCAATCCAAGCACTTGTCATCCTTATCATCTCATCATCACGCATCCAAGTGAGGAAGCTGCAGTTTCAATGCCTGCCAGTTCCTGCAAGACACACAAAATGCTGGACTGGGTCCAGAAATCAGCCACAGGATGGGGAATTAGTGTCAGGAGGTGACAGCAGAGGTCAGACCAGTGCTGCACTGTCCTCATACCTGGCAGTAGGTCCCCACAGGGGTCACAGCACCCCACAGCCCTTACTGAGCATTCAGTCTCCACCTGTGACAGACATCCCACGACTGCATGACACAGGGCTGGCAGCTGCAGTCACACCATCCCAACACTCTGAAGAGCTTCTTCCACTGCCCTCTGACCACTGCCTGCAGATAACAAGTCCTGGGCTCCAGCACAGACAGGATGGCTTCCTCTCTTCTGTGCGTGTGTGGATGTCAAGGGGCCTTGCAACATCTGAAGTGGCAACTCCCAGTGTAGACAACTTGTTACAATCCATTATAACCATTCTGCTGCTGGACCTGAGACCAGGAAATTCTCTCCCTCAGGTCTCTGGCCTGGATGATTCTGTTACAGACCCTCCTGTTGAACACCACAGGCCCTTTACACCTCTCACCCCCTCAAAAAACCATCAACACACCAAACTTTCTCACCCTTTAACATCCCACACCAACACTCCACCCTCCAGTCTTCCTCCCTGGGCATCTTGCCCCCTCCCTAAAGCCTGTTCTACCCCTGTCATGCCTCAAATCACCCCCTTCCCCTGTGACCCTTGCCCCAGCCCCTGTCCTTGCCCCATGTGCTTCCTCCCCTCATTCTCAGAGCTTAGCCCTGTCAGTCCTCCCCACTCTCTCTGGAGCCACATTCTGTATCCTGGGGGCAGTACATACCTTGACATGGGAAGGGAGGGGACATCTCCCCAAACTCAGCCCCAATGTCCAGCTCTACACACCCTCATGATGATGTGCTGAGCTCAACTGTCTGGTTGTGGCCACCCTTTAGGGCATTTCTGTTTGCTGTGGCTGTGGGCCAGCACCAGGCTGAGGATGTACCTTGGAGTCCACTTAAAGTAATGGCCCAGTGGTCCCTAAAGACAGAAGAAACATTTGCAATTGTACAGGTATGGAAAAATCAGCAGATAAGGGAAACTTTTATCTCGAGTACCAAAGTGCATGGTCAATTAATGCTCGCATCTCCATCGGGGAAACTTGCAGAGAATAAGCAAGCTGTAAATGCTGAATTTGGAGCATGTTCTGGGAAATGCATGTGCAACTGGCAGAAGACACACAAGCCTGCAGAAGGAAATGAGGAGCCAGAGCTGTACCCTTAGCCCTGAATTTCCACATAACACTAACAAAACAAACTTGGAGACAGAAGGAAAAAACCCTACAGGAGTGGTATGTAGCTTCCGGCTGCAGTGCCTGGGCCACTGGCCACACCCAGCACAGGGGCAATGCAGGGCTTAGAACTATTGCCAACAGCAATAAAATTGTGGTGGGGATGGACCCTTACCATCCTGGCAGTAAAATCTGCCAGTCATCCTGTTTGCTTACCTGTCCCTCCTGCATTTCATTCACAGTGACCTCACTGCCCTTCATTGTCTTGTGGCTGTTTTACTGCTGATTTCCTCATTCCTTACTCATCATTTCAGACATTGTCCTCTTTGTGACAACTCTCATGTAATTAGAATGAAAAATCTAAGGAAAACTGTAGGTGGAAGGCATACAAACCATATAGCTGCAGACACAAAAGTTAAAAGATAATTATAAAAATTTGAGAAATAAAGATTTTAACTGAGGATCAGCTTTGTGCTTCTTTCCCATGTGCATGAGAGGGGCATTAGTTTTCCAGAGTGTCATGAGTTACTGGCTTTTGCCCTGCAAATGTAGGACCTCAGGGTTACCTCTGTGTGCTGTGGACTCAGCTGAGCTCTCTACATTCTCTACCTGTGCCAGTACTTCTGCTCTGCTAGCACAGCCTTAGAGCAAACCTGTCCAGATGGTTGGTTTGGCTTAAAAATACCTACCAGTTTTTTTCAAAAAACAAACACTGAGACCCAGTCTTTTTCTGAGTTTCATCCTCTCACCTGATTCAGCACATGGAGAGCAGCTGCTTTAGCAGCAGGAGAAGATGCAGGAACAGCAAAGAGTGATGGAGAGGTGGTGACAGTGGCTATACCACTGTCTTTTTCATTGTTGCTGGTGAAGGTGAAGCCACAGGATGACTCTGGCCCTAGCCAATTGCCTGAGAACGCAATCCATCCACTCTCCAAAGCGTTGTTACTTTGTTCTTCCCCATCCATGCACTCTCTCTTGTCCTTCAACAAGTCATTATGAACCAACAAGACCTACATAAATGTTCCTCCCTCATGTGCCCGGCAGCACTGCCTGGGATTCTGCTCCCTCCTCTGCCCCCTGGCAGCCTGGGACAGAGGGGTTCCCCCACTTTGCCAGCCAGACATGGGGCTGATGGTTGAGATTCCCCTCTGCTCCCACTCATGGGCTGAAAGAAGTGGTAGAGTGAGCTGACACTCCCCAGCTTTGCAGGTGGGAAAGGCAGAAGTGTGAGTTGCTCTGTGCCCCTCTCCCTCTCCATCTGCCTCTGGGGTCCCATTTTGGGCAGCCCCCCTGAACTCATCCCAAAAGGATGGAAAACAGAGGTGACAGGCAGGGGTAGGACTTTTCCCTCAGGCAGGGCTGCCTCTGCAAGAGATGGGGTGCTGCCTAGGGGATTAGCCAGAGGAAGACATGCTTCACCAGACACATGACTGAGAACTTCAGTCATCTCTGAATCTTTGTTCATCTCTGAACTTCATAAACCTCCATTCCTAAAGAAAATCTCAGGTCCTTGAGTACCACAGGAACTGTGCTGCTGCCTTTCATGAGGGCTCATTTCAGCCTTGCTTTGGTCTCTGCAAAACAAGCTTGTGCCACCACTTTGGGTGAGTTAATACACACCACAGCTTAAGGTCATGAATCTACAAAGTCCACCTGGAAATGCAATTTTTAGTCTAAAATTGATTCTTCAGCTCCTTTTTTCCAAACAATTCTGTGTATAGCTTTTTGGTTTACAATTAAAAACTCCAGGAAACAGAAAGCCAGGTCCCAAAAGTTTTCCTGAACCACAAACCCACATTTGCCTCATGGAACAAATGTCTTATGCTCTGGCACTACAAAGACCTCAGTTCCCTCCTCCTGCATTGTGCTGCCTCTGAGCTGTGCAGCACTGGGGATGCCACAGTGCTTGTCTCACAGCAGGAGCTGGGCATGGCTGAGGGCTCAGTCTGACAAATCAGAGGCTCCACAGGTTGGTTGCTACCTGGAAGGCTTAAAGGAAAGATGATACTGCTCAGCCTAGCACACGAGTTGAACCAAAGGATGAGAAAAGAGTGCCACTACTGTTAGTGTTTCAATGGCCACACTGGACTGTAGTTCCAGAAATGGAGAAGTATCATCCAGTTCTCCTCATCCCAAAATAAATACAGCCACAGTTCAAAACAAACTTGGGGGGAAAAAGAATGTATTGACTGCCAGGGATAAACTTAATAAATG